TGTTGTTGTATTTTATTCTTGTATTTTGTGAATGTGTCAAGGATGTCATTTGATCTGACTGCAAGATAAATTTACCTACGGGTATAAATAAAGTAACCTAACCTAACCTCCGACAGACCCCAACTCTTGGTGGGAGGCCTTCGCCTCAGCTGGTTGGGGTGAGTAGATAGAGGAGAGAGAAAAGAAGAGCAGCAAGACAACAAACAATCAAACACTGATGTGGCTGGTCTGAGTATTTTTAGAAGACAGGAAGCAGATTTCCTGTAGTCAGTCAAAAACTGAAACTGAACAGGACAGTTACCAAAACCACACCTCAAAATCCACCATGATCCACTTGAAGGAACACCAGCAGAAGCTTTTATAATGGCCCTCACATCCCCTTCTACCTTCTTTTCCACACATAAAAAATAAACCTTTCCTTACTCCTACAAACAAAGCTAACATGCTAACTCAGCACCTGCGAAAGAAATCTGAATCAGCAGAATAAATGCACTCTGAGCATTAATCTGTTCCTTACCAGTGATTTCTCCCTTCCTGACGGAGAAAGGAATCACCATGTCAAATGGTCTGAAGCCGCTTCCATTAATGCTGCTGACTGGCTTGTAGTTCTCTGATGTCACCTGGAGTAAACGGACACAGATACACATAATTTAAGAGGTCACTCGTTACTAAAAACAACTTCCTGTCCTCAGCGACCTGCATTAGAAACATGCTGCTGCTGCATCCCAGCCCCTCCCACACAGAGGCACCCTGGGGAAGTGTAATGCAGTGGAGCAGGAAGGAGTTAGAAGAGGATGATGATGTGATTCTATAATGCAGCCACTGTGATGAAGAGTGCACTGAGGGAGAAGAGATAGCGACAAAGACCACCATATCGAAACCCCTAGAGGAAAAAAAAAACCTCCCATAACCATAGCAGTGCCTTCTGCAACACGTGACAAGACCTGAGATTTATTTATTTTATGACATTAGATGTTTGCTGCGGTCCGGCTGGCTGAGACAAAAAGAGAAGCAATGAGGCAAAGCGGTTGAGAGAGTACATTTTAGAATGGAGAGAGAGGCAGGCCAGATTTTCACCTGCAACAGAGGAGAGCTGTGTGTGTGTGTGTGTGTGTGTTGTGCACAGTACGTATGTTAGTGTGTGCTTGTGTTGTGGTCACTGCTTTTTTTGCGAGTGTCATGTTTAAAAAGTGTGTGTGCTGTTAACGAGTCATTTTACTTACAGTGTGTGTCAAAGTTTCTTTTGCGTGTTCCACATCAAGTAAGCCTGTGTGTGTGTGTGTGTGTGTATGTTTGTGTGATTGTCCGACTGTCCATTAAAGGTTCTATCAAACCATAAAAACAGTGCAAATTAAAACTCGTTGGATATTTGTTTTTATAAGTGTGTGCATGAATGCATCTGACTGTGTTTGTGTTCAGGGGGTACCCAGGGCTGGAAGCCAACTCCAGGGGGAGCGGCCTTTTGCTGTAGAGATGTCTGCTCTTGCATCAAGGGTACCTCATCTGTAGCCTGAAGAGACAACAGTAAGGATTAACATCTGCACTCACACACACATTTCCTCTCCACTACCACTGACCAGAGGTGCAGATGCCAGATTAAGGGGGAAAAAACATCTAGAGTACTGTGCAAATGCTTCCCCAAGATACTGGAACAACCTGCCTGCCAAGGACCTGGAAACACTGTGTGCACATGGACTGAGGAGAACAGGAGCTGGTTTAAAGGCAAAGGGGGTCACAGCAAATATTGATCTGACTTTTATTCATGGTATTTTTTTTAAAAAACATCTTCACTTTAATTGCCTAAAACCTTTGCACAGTACTATATGTTTCTTCTTGGCACTGTGAATAATATTGTCATCACCAATAAAGGTGGAATTCATTTGTCCCAGTTCACTAGTACTCAGAGTACTTTAATTACTCCTTAATGTGGAGTGAGACTGTGCTATAAGGCTAGTGGAAAAGATTTGGTGTCTTTAACAGTGCAACACACATACAGGATTAGAGACAGACGGGAAGCACAATATATATGTTCAAAAGTTGACATACGCCACAGACTCTTGGGTAAATATAACCTGTCACCTCAAGGCACAAGATCAGAGATTAATCTGCAACCAGTGCAATTATACAAACAAGCCATCTGAGTTAAGGCTGCATTAAAAAGACCATGTGGGGGCAGAGGAACTTCAAAACTATAGTACAGCAGAAACTTTTCAAAATCCACCCGCACTTAAACTGCAGTACCGCATGACTATAATGTGAACAAAATTTGAAATTTGCAGAATTAATGTTTAGTCACTTTAAATACTGAAGTCATTCCAGATCCTCAGTCAAACTGTAATAAAGACAGTGGAACCTCCACCTTAACATGCTCTCATTAAAATCTGCAACAGATGACCACCTGCTTATGTGGAGCATTTTGGATCCCTGAAATCACACTCGATTAAGTACAGTTCTGCATCCCTCCCTTACCACGACTTTGAAGGGACTGCGCGGGACGTTTTCTCCTCCAAAGCGGACGTAGATGATGTAGTTCCCGGGGGCCGGTGCGGTGTAGAAGATGTCGAAGGTGCCATCTTCGTTCTCCATTACCTCAGCCTCCACCTCGCTGCCATCAGGCTGAACCACCACACAGCTTACCCTCCCCTTCCCAGCACCCTTAGCATTCACCACCAGACCCAGCTCCTCGCCGATGGCCACAGTGGGACCCACACCGGGACCTGAGTGGAAGACATTTCATTTCATTTATTTGTTTTTTTTTCAGTTTGTATTATTATTATTACTTTTTTTAATCTGTGATGGGTTATTCTAGTGACGGACCGGTGACGGTGCATTTGCTGGCGTCTCCGGTAGCTGTGGCACGGACTCTGTAGGGTGATGCAGGGATTTCGTCACCGCCATACTTTATGGCGATGGTGTACCGGCCCACACGGTTGGGGATGTAAGACACCTCGTATGTACCATCATCATTGTCATGGATACTGGGCTGCTTAGTTTTACCATCCTGGTCCTGAGGTGGAAGGAGGCAAGAGACGAGAAGAAAGGAGGGAAGGTTGCTGTGAGTGGTGTTATTTAGTTCATCTCTTGTGTGACTATGTAGTATGTCCTTTCTCCAAGGTGGTGACCTGGATCTGAAAGTTGCTCAGTGCCGTTCCTGATCAATGTTCAAATCGATTCAGCTCATGGTCACTTTGGAGGCTGTAGTTTGTGCTGCTCTTTAGGGTTTGTTAAACTATTGTTTGTTTGGTTCTGAATCAAGGGTCTAATGTGTGTTGTACAGAGTGGAAATGCCCTTTGAGGAAAATTTGTAATAATGACAATTTGAGGACAGATAGTTTTAATGTGAGAGCGGAAATGCCCTTTGAGGATAATTTGTAATAATGATAATTTGAGGACAGATAGTTTTAATGTGATGTCTTATTTCACATCTGTCTATTAATGTGTGTGTGTGTGTGTGTGTGTTACTGACTGTGATGAGCAGCTCCAGTTGGCCCTTGCCAGCATCTTTGGTGTCAACGTTGAACTCGACAGGGAAGCTGGCGAGGACGCCACTGGTCAACCCGGGCCCACTGGCTCGCACTTTACTGGCATCATGAGTGGGCAGAACCCGAAACTTGAAGGGACTGAAGAGACCACAGACAGAAACAACACAGTCAAACTCCACAAACTTCAACAAAGGTGCACATATGAATCCCAGACACAAATTCCCCACTGAAGAAACAGTTATTACTGAGGTATTTAAATGCTAACATGAGCAAAAAGTGTAGAGATTCTCTAACACAAGACACAATACAAAGGACCTCCTTTACCGTTCCACAAAATACTGCAGATCTGATTTTGTCTTTGAACTGATCAACTGACTCCTGATTCAGCTTCCTCTTAAAGTACTCTATCAGTACTTCTGTGTACCTGTGGGGGACGTCCTCCTCTGCGTACTTGACGGCGACAGAGTACGGTCCCTCCACAGTTGGAGTGTAGGACACTGTGTGAGTCCCGTCCCTGTTGTCTGTCACCTCCACAGGCTCGGCGGCGCCTTTCAGAGGCTTGACGGCCACGGCCAGTGGGGCCACACCTGCCTTCCTGCAGTCCACCGTGAAGGACTGTGGGATATTGGCCCTGACTGCTGAGCCCACACCGGGACCAGATACCTTGACTTTACTGGAGTCCACCACATCCTTTGCTGGGACCTTGAATGGACTTCCTGGGGAGAACAGGAAAAGGAAATGTTGGTTAAGACCCAAACACAAAGAAGAATAAGTCTAGTTTGACATGAGCTTTTTCAGTTTAATTAGAATTTATCGTCAGGGAGTTACTGAAGTACCAGTTTTCATGACTATCAAGATTTTACAACTAATTTAATATTTTTCTTATTCCATGAAAAGACCAAAATCAACCGTTATGTCTGGATTATACACTTGCAAACATATATGGCCCCAATAACGATGATTCATTCTTTTTTCATAATTTTTTCTCATCTTTATGCAACTCAACAAATATTAT